CTCCCAACCAGATTCAGATCAAATAAGCGATTTGATCGACTTATGTTTAGGCATTGATTTTGAATCCAACAACTAACTAGGAATGACAATATCTTAAAAATTGCTAATACGAACTAAACCTTTAGCTACGTCCTTATTCTTCAATCAATGTTTGACAGTTACTCAAAGCATACTTTTTCAGGCTGACAAGCTTTGGTAGCCTGAGGCGACATTTGTAGCCTCACCGGACAATAAATGAGCGCGAAGAGTCCTTCAGTCATCTTCAAACGCATAAATATCTTAACATTCAATTCAAGCAACATCCCTAATTTTAATGCTAAAACATGAATCGGAGCGTCTAATGTACCTTTTAGCTGATTCGAGTTCGTTACAAAATAATGCTCTTATATTTAAGTATAATGTTCGTCGAATGCTTTAACCTATTTTTGGAGAACGTTAGTCACATACTCGAGCATTCGGATAAAAGCCCGCCGTTCGCGAACCGACGAAAAAGTGGTTATGCAAAGTGTTATTATTTTTCCAAGGCGGAGTTACGCAACGGATGCGATGGGCGCGGCTAAAGTGACAGCGTCGAGCGATTTTTGTACTTATCTAATACTTAGTTTGTTGTATGCAAAATTGAACTTACTTTAAACTACATTAGATGGCACAGTGTTAAGTGTGATGCTGTCGTTTGTATTAAAATTGCTGGCCAAAAAAATAACTCGAGTTGAACTTAATACTTCACCCGAACCTTATTGCGGTTAGGTTGAGCTGTCTCCCTTGAGCTCAATGTCAAACTTAATAAACAAATTAAGTAAGAACTCGAGTTAAGAAAAAGGTTATTTTACAAAGCTAATTATGTAAGATAAACCTTTTTCTACTTGAAGGGGACATTCGTTATTTGTTTAAGTAACATGATGAAAAAAAGTAAAACACCTTTAAGTGTATCTGGGGGCACGGCAGTGCCCCCACCAAGTCGAGCAAAAAAGCGGCACGGCCGTACCATCCTTTTCTCGAAGCAATTCAGGATTTAAAGATTTCCTGGCCTGGACTTGGTATTACATGGATCTCACAACTTTTTACCGTAGAACAACTGAGTTGCGAGACTTGGTTTTTTTGACAAGTATTGTTTTTGATGGGATGTTATTTTACTCGCTGGCATTGAGACCGCACCCATCCGGAAGTGCGTTGGGCGGCATTAGGCGGATTGAGCGGAAATGGGTCAGGCCAGGATTTGGCCGCCTCTTATTGCGAACTGATTTAAATATGATGCGGAGATGAAACGCGATTGAAGCCTGTGTAGATAAAATCGCGGTACATTTCAAAGTAAACAAAACCAATTTTGTATCAGAAGATACATATTCTGGGTAGGTAGGTAACGATACTATTGAAATGTATCATATTATTCAGCCAGCTCTTTATGTCTTGGACAGTATAAATGACTTTTAAAAAAAGTATTTTTGAATTCCGAACAGTCCTGAAAAATCTGGCCAAAAACAACAAATGATAAAAAAACAATCATCAAACTTAAAGAAAATATCACTAGCCAGTACTCGCAAGCAATAAAAAACCTCGACCCTTAAAACTGGGTCACCAAAAACAAAAGAGCGTCGAAAACATTTCAAGGAAGAGCGCAAAAAAATCGCCTCCGTAAGTGAATGTAGGTTCGCTTATTCTCCTTTAATGAGAGGCGCTTGAATTAGGCGTCACTGGCCGTCATAAATTGTCGCCGTTCCCGGCAAAGTGGGGGTTTTCCCGGGAAAAGGGAGGGTACGCCGGTAAAAAGTCGCAACGAGGCCCGGACAGGGATGGGACAGATGGTATTACTCATCGATATAATATCTGAAAATCTCTAGCATCGAATGATTACGTTGGTGACGATCCAGTTTTTGTATCTCTACAACTGGTAATTGCTTTAAATTAAGAATAACAAATATTTAACAAATACATAGGTACAAAGGGGATGCTAATCGTAGTATTACTATTACTGAAATTTATTTGTAGCAAAGAATTATTTAAAAAAAATCTCATTAACATGATTCTTCATAAATTTTTTATTTTGTATTACAACATTATCATAATATGGCTACAATAGAAGCTATTGTGTTTCAAAGTTCAGCTTAGCCATCATATCAAGAAGTACAAAGCTGTAATACAAAAGTTCGGCAGACAATGTAATGATAGCAAAAATATCGATACAAAAGACTGTGTGGAACATCCCTAGTGCTAAGGGCCTATCTCCTCGCTGATGGTAGGTCCCGGATAGCTTATTGGCCTGTTTATGGATTAAGACTGTTCCGTAGATATATTCCCAAATCCGATAGTGTTTTTTATCAGTTAGGGAAAAGTATTAGCATATAAATTAGAGTTTGAGTAAGTTTACTTTCTCAGTCGATCTGGCTGTCGTTTTATTTGTTTACAAATAAAACGACATTGTCGAGACGTTGGAGGTGGGAGGATCGGGAAGCCGTTTGCAAGTTTTTACGAAGTAAATCGATTGAACAGCTGTTAGATTGTATTGTTTATTTGCTAATGAAGATTTACTTTGGTTTTGGTGGATAAGGTTGGACTGTCGTGACACCATACAAAAAATACCCGTTATTGTTAAATTACGGTTAAAGTAAGTTGGTGCAATTCGGCTTTAGAATCGCCTACCTAGTACCATATGTGTCGGTATTTGTGAATACAAAACTATGCATGTATTGGGGGTAGACTTTTGGTCTCAATAAATCAGTCTTGATCTGGATCTCGTGTTTGATTGACACCTTACATAAACATGGCGCAGCCGGTAGTGAAAATCTAAAATAATTTGTCCTTTCAAGTTACGTCAAGTGTGCGTAGTTAATTTATAAAACTATTGGATTTAAAACGCATCGTACTCGTAGTAATTGTGAANACCACCCTAGTAAGTATATAAGAATAATTCACTATCCGTTTCTAGCGGTCCTACAAGGTCTAAAAATATTTTCTCAAACGCCGAGTTAGCGGTCGTCGTTATAACCATTGGTTCTTTAGTAGGTGTAGAATATTTTTGTCGTTGGCATTTATCACATCGTTTAACAAAATCTCTAATGTCCTTATCTAAACCCGTCCAATAATAATATTTTTTAATATTATTTGACATTCTTCTCATACCAGCATGGCCACTACTAGGTAGGAGATGAAAGTCATTCAAAATTACTCGCTTTTCATCTTTATCATTTATTTTTTCTACATCTTTTAATATACATATTCGGGGTCCGGACCTACCTTTGTGTTTTTTATTTCTTCTAATATTTTTTCTATAAAATATTCATTTTCTTTTGTCGGTATTTGTGAATACAAAACTATGCATGTATTGGGGGTAGACTTTTGGTCTCAATAAATCAGTCTTGATCTAGATCTCGTGTTTGATTGACACCTTACATAAACATGGCGCAGTCNTCATGGGCGATATGATATGAACATAGCCCCATAAAATGTTGAGTTGATGCTTGTCGTACAGTTTATTCCGTCGAGAACTTTATTTCACAGTTGAGGACAATGACGTTTGAAGATGGAACCGGTACACCACCCGGGACGCCCGTCAGCCGACGACGAAATAAGCGAACCAAGCCGATGAAGTTGTCCTCGTCGTCCAGTAAGAAGGCGTCATCACGATCGTCTTCCATGGGACGAAGGTCGCAGGAAGAAGCAGTACCACACGAGGTTCGTGAAATAGGTATAGACTCTTGTGAAAATGTTTTGAAATTATTTAAATTCAGATTATTTATTGCTTACTAAATGGCAATTTGTTATAGTGTAAATTACTTACAGGAGCTTAAAAACATATGTAGTTACCTGAGTGGTATCGCAATAGAGTAGGTGGCTATACTATAAACATTATATTAATTAACTTATAAGATAACTAGGATTAAGGTTGATGGCTGACTATAGTAGTTGTTAGATACTATAATATTTTTATGGTCAATTATTGTATACGTTAAGAAGTTATTCTTTCAATAATACTAATAATGTAATCTCTGAATTCAGGGCGTAAATGAATGCGCTGTTAGATAGTTATAATGCTGTTATAATAAAGTCGGAATGAGAAATAAGTAGTACAATAAAATTCTCATTGCAACAGTTAGTTACCTAGCTTAGAGAATTATGAACGTTTGAGGAAATTTTGAATCTTACTTCTTGAAAGAATAAAAGCTTACGTGATTATCTTATAACGAACTAGGATGGATAAATAGGCGTGAAATAACAGAACCCAAAGACTTAACCAGCTTTTTGGTCTCACTATAGCCAGTTTATTTCGCAAATAATCGATCATAGGATCATTCAGCTCCAAAGATAAACAACTCGGGTTCTAAGAAATACCGGTAATGGTAATAATGGACAAGTTTCCAATTTTTTTTTCTTTTAATAAAACTTGAAAATATAAGTAGAACTATTAATAATTGTGAAAGAATCATGAAAATATCTCTACAAATACAAAAGTTACAGGGCCCTAAAATTGCGCATAACAAATATTCGCGCCATTTTGATCGGTGTAGTCACGACAGTCATTCGGAGTACAAACAGTAAATCAGTACAAACAGTAACCCCTGGCCCAGTGCTGTTGACAGATCCATTTTTCTTTAAAATCGAGTAGTTTTAATTTTTCAGTTAGGGTCACTCAATATTCCTTCTTAGTAAAATTGTGTAACCATTTCCAAGACCTGACCATTATATAAAAAGAAAAAGACTTCGACATTATAATATCATTCTTGACAATGCGTTAGGGGTGATAAGCATTGTGATTGATGTCGGTATTTGTGAATACAAAATTATGCATGTATTGGGGGTAGACTTTTGGTCTCAATAAATCAGTCTTGATCTGGATCTCGTGTTTGATTGACACCTTACATAAACATGGCGCAGTCGGTAGGATAAATCTAAAATAATTTGTCCTTTCAAGTTACGTCAAGTGTGCGTAGTTAATTTATAAAACTATTGGATTTAAAACGCATCGTACTCGTAGTAATTGTGTACTCTAAATAAAACAAAACAAGATGGAATCAGTGTTGCCTCCACCCCCGCCATTTGCATTTGTGAATAATTTGGACAATGTAACAACAGGAAATATATCTAAGGAGTGGGAAAAATGGAAAAGTGCATTTATGATCTATTTTGATGCATGTGAGATGAACAAAAAGGACCCAAAAGTGCAAATATGTATTTTTCTACACATCGTTGGTGAACAATGTCGAGAACTATATGACCAGTTTAAAGACCAGTGTAAAGATATTACAAGCTTAATAAAAAAATATGATGAATTGTTTTTGCTCAAGAAAAATTTGACGGTACAACGACATCACTTTTTTACTCGAGATCAACTAGACGGCGAAACAATTGATCAGTACTCTCTTGAATTACGCAAGTTGGCATCAAAATGTGAATTCAAAGATCTACTAGATGATTTAATACGGGATAGATTGATTTGCGGCCTAAAAGAAAATGCACTTAGAGAACGATTATTACGAGAACCGGATTTGACGTTACAAAAATCATTGGATATCTGCAACATTGCACAATTATCTAAAGTACATGCGGGAAACATAAAAAAGGAATTTGTGAAACACGAAGTTTACGCCGTTAAGAACAGTGATGACGATAATCACCATTGCAATGAGAGCTCGTGTACAGCAAATTGGATATCAAGACGCGGGAACACATCATCAAATCAAAGCTTTCGAGGTACGAGTCGCGGGCGCGCGTCACGGCCCGTTGTGTCACGCGGGCAGCGCGTGCAACGGTTTGGTTCCGGGCAGTCTGCGCCGCCGAGTACTTACAACTATTCATCCGCTCAAAACTATCAACAAGAACAACAGTTACAGTGTAGCAAGTGCGGCATGACTCATAACATAAATAAGTGTCCTGCTTACGGCAAAAGGTGTATAAAATGTAACAAACTAAATCACTTTGCTAGAGTGTGTTTTAAGAAAAATGTCTACGAAGTGCAAAGCGACGAGTCCTCCGATCAGGTAATCTATTATTTCAATAAATCCAGCAGTGACTGGAGTGTAAAATTCTTAATTAATAATAAAGAAATTTCTTTAAAAATTGATACGGGTGCAGATGCCAATGTGTTGCCTCGTAGGTGTTTAAAAAGTATTGGTTTGTCTGAAGAATGTCTTATTCAAACTTCAATAAAATTACGGGGCTATTCTGGCGGTGACATCAAAGTAATTGGTACATGTAATATAAAAGTAAAGTTTAGAAACAGTGATCACATTTTGAATTTTATTGTTGCAGACGTTAATTCACCTCCAATATTAGGTCGTCAATCTTGTCAGGAATTAAATATAGTAAAATTAATTCTCTCTGTTAGTGACAATTTGCAAACTGATAACATACAATCTCACATCTTTAGTGAGTATTCAGATGTTTTCGAAGGTATAGGTTGCATGCCAGGAGTATACAAAATAGGTATAGATGAAAGTATTCGGCCAGTTGTTCATGCCCCTAGAAAATTACCTGTAGCTCTTAGAGATGATGTAAAAAATAAGCTGGATGAAATGGTAAAAGATGACATAATTGCAAAAGTTAGTGGACCCACGGACTGGGTAAACAGCATGACTGTCGTAAGAAAACCGAATGGTGACTTACGAATATGTCTAGATCCACGAGATTTAAATAGAGCAATAAAGCGCGAACATTTTAATTTACCAACGCTTGACGAGATAGCTGTTAAATTAGCTGGAGCAAAGTACTTTAGTACATTAGACGCCAAAAATGGTTTCTGGCAGCAGAAACTCCATGACGATAGCACAAATCTATGTACTTTTAATACGGCATTCGGCAGATATAAATTTTTGCGTTTACCTTATGGTATCACTTCAGCATCTGAAGTCTTTCATAAAAAAATGTACGACAACTTTGATGACATTGAAGGCGTATGCTTGTTTGTTGATGATCTTATAATTTTTGGTAAAACTAAGTTACAACACGATAATAGGCTTATAAAAGTGCTTAACAGGTGTCGAGAAATTAACCTAAAATTAAACATAAATAAATGTAAAATTGGGCTTACAGAAATAAAATATTTAGGACATAAAATTACTCCTCAAGGAATCTATCCAGATAGTTCCCATACTACAGCTATATCTAAAATGCCACCACCTAGTAACAGCAAAGATTTAGAGAGATTCCTTGGTTTAGTTAATTACATTGGTAGATTTGTACCAAACTTATCTGAAAAAACACATTGTCTTAGGCAGCTATTAAAAAAAGATATCGAATGGCATTGGATGACTCATCATCAAACATGTTTTGATAATCTAAAGAAATGCTTAATAAATGTTCCTGTTTTACAATATTATGTTCTACATAAGCCCGTAGTCATCTCAGTAGATGCAAGTAAAAATGGCCTGGGCGCTTGTTTATTGCAAAATAATCTTCCAGTCAGTTATGCATCTAGGTCGCTCACGAAAGCTGAACAAAATTATGCTCAAATTGAAAAAGAATTACTCGCATGTGTTTATGCGTGCGAGAAGTTCTATACATACATTTATGGCAGAAATGATGTTACTATTGAGACCGACCACAAACCTCTTGTAAATATCATAAATAAACCAATAGCTAATACCCCGGCGAGACTACAAAGAATGTTATTGCGTCTACAATTGTACACTTTTAAGTTAGTTTATAAACCTGGGAAATATTTATACATCGCTGATACTTTGTCTCGAGCGGCAGAACCGGTTTGTTATAGCGAGCTGCAAGCGTGCGAACGCGATCACTTTGATGTACAGGCACAAGTATGTGCCATAACTGCGTGTAATCCGCTCACAGATACACATTTCGTTAGGTTGCAAAAAGAAACGCACGATGACTCCGAATTACAGTTATTAATAAAGTACATACGTGATGGCTGGCCCGAACACAAACAGGAGATTTGTGATGAAATTAAACCGTACTGGTGTTATAAAGATGACCTATCTACATCATATGGTATTGTGTGGAAAGGTAGTCGTGCAATCATTCCCAAAAGTATGCGCAAAGAAATGCTTTCTAATGTACACATCGGTCACCTAGGGTTGGAAAAATGCAAGTTGCGAGTCCGAGATACCATGTTTTGGCCTAATCTGAATACTCAATTAGAAGATTATATTACAAACTGTCAGGCATGTTTAACGCATAAAAATCAGAATAGAAGAGAAACTTTAATCTCACACGATATTCCTAATAGAGCATGGTCCAAAATAGGAACTGACACTTTTCATTTTAACAGTCACGTATATTTGCTTATAGTAGATTACTATAGTAAGTTTGTAGAAATAATTAAATTAAAAAATTTGACTTCAAATGAGATAATTGATCAATTAAAAATAGTATTTTCCAGACAAGGAATTCCAGACATACTAATATCGGATAATGGTCCGGAGTATAGTTCTCTTGATTTTAAAACATTCTCACAACAATGGTGTTTTCGTCATGTGACGTCATCACCACACTATCCGCAGTCAAATGGACAAGCGGAGAGAACAATCCAAACAATTAAGCAAATGTTAAAAAAAACCCTGCTAGATAAAAAAGACTTCAGGCTCGGCTTACTTGAATATTTAAATACGCCAATTAATACACATTTAGCGTCACCATCTGAATTACTGAATAATCGAAAATTAAGAAGCATTATTCCTTGTTCCCCAAAACTGTTAAAAGCAAAAATACCTAAACGTGTCAAACATGAACTTGAATTAAAACAAGAAATACAACAACTTCATTATAATAGAGGCGCAAGGGATTTATCACAATTAAAAAGAGGTCAGAAGGTAAAAGTCAGAATTAATAAACATTGGGTTGGTGGTATAGTCAATTCACTTGTAGGACCGCGTTCGTACGCAATACAAATTGTCAATGGAGGTACTTTAATTAGAAATCGCCGGCATCTAATCACTGATAGTAACTACTCTCAAAAGAATAGCACATCAGCTGATTACGGCAGTCGTGATAGATACTCTTATGATGATGTCACCGTTCGGAATTCTATTATGCAAAATTCTTCCGCACCCGTAACAAACAATAATCAACCTTATATCACTCGTTTTGGCAGGTCAGTGAGACAGCCTGATCGGTGGGGCTACAACACTTCGCCAAATGAACATTGATGTATCTTCTATAGTTAAGTACACTATATTAATAATAATAAGAATGCCAGCTAAGTAAAATAAGCTTGACACCTTGTCATTTTTAAGAAACCTTTGGTAATTAGATATGAGATCAACGATGTATAACGGATAGATTGTTTTATTGCATGTTAAATTTACCAGTTTACTGTGTATGTACCTACCTATACATACATACGTGATTCCATAGATTTGCTAATCCAAATCTTTGTGCAATTCAATATGGTACTGATGAAATCAAACACTGTAGGTATAATATAATATGTAATTATTAATATAATATGTAATTGTTGTAATAAAATTAATTAAAACACAAATTAACAAAAAATAAAATATTTAATAAATTGTATTTTTATCTTACTGAATACATAATACTCAAAGCAAATATACAAAATAAAATTGCGTTAAAATAGTTCATAATGTTCAAATTTAATGATATTGTTATAATAGGTAAGCATGGAAAATTCAATTATGTATTACTTTATTTCTATGTAGTTTGAAATGATAACAATTTATGCTGGTCATAAAATATTATAACAAACTTTCCATTATATTAGAAAATGGAAATTAATTTATTGAATTATAATTCTATAACTTTTTTAATGTATAATGATGAAATTAAGTTAATATAAATAAACAACTAGATTTAAGTCAAATGTACTCTTAGGTCAAATATTAATTACCTACCTATATTATTATATCTTGCATGTATCTAGTTCAATTGGATTTTTTATTTTATTTAAAAAAGGGGGTTGTCGGTATTTGTGAATACAAAACTATGCATGTATTGGGGGTAGACTTTTGGTCTCAATAAATCAGTCTTGATCTGGATCTCGTGTTTGATTGACACCTTACATAAACAATATGAATGATTTAAACCACGATATACATACATTGATAAAACTTCTACATATCTTTTGTCATAATACCGTAAAGCTCATACTTACATAAAACGTTTGCATTTCCATTGTAAACAAAACAAAACCCGAAGATTTTTCCAAACAAACAAAATTTCAATGGATTCACGTTGCCCGGCTGTCCTATGTTTTCACTTGGCCGCTTACACACGACGACTTTGAGGTTTGTAAAATTACGGTTCAGAGTAAAATTCCTGAAAATTAAAGGACTAGGTACTAACAAGGTATTTAAACATCATTTTTTTCGGGTAAAATAGGTGATAACTGTCGAAGTTACCAGGATATTAAGGTGTGAAACAACGAATGTGTAACAAGCTAATTTAAGTGAAGAATAATGTTTATTCCTGAAAAATTTGACTAAATTGGTTCCTTAGTTAGATGTGGAAGTGTGTTTTTGCACAAGGTGCAAAAACTAGTGCAAAGATCCGGGAACCAAACGGGTTTTGTGAAACTGTAGAGCATTAATAACACAAAGATTTTTTGTGTGAATATGATTAAAACTTATTCATATTACATTTAATATGACGCGGATCACGATATCTACCTACTCAATTTGATTAAATATTTATACATTTTATCATTGAAGAATCGTTTCCTGTAAACCGTCCTTACATTTCCCGGCTGTCCGTTTCACTTAGGAATTACTCGGAAACAATATTTTCCAGTTGAATATTCATGTTAGCAAGGTGATTTATCACCTCTAATGAATGCGAGAGGGTTTACTTTGCAACAATCATGGCGCTAAGAGGCTGTGGTTTGTGGTAGCACTGACAAATATGTTCTATTGCTGAACATTAATTAATAAAATGATCCAATTTGGGACGTGTAAGCTTTCATTCAAAATGAATGGATAACTCTATGTTGTTTGGTGTGGCAAGGAAATGCTGTATCATGATGCAAGTATTTAAAAATTAATTCAAAAGTAAAGATGGAATATAACTGATTTGATAAGTAGCTCTCATATTCAATTTTCCACCAAGTATTGTTAAAGTTCCAAAATAATAAGATTTGGAGGTTCTGAATTTTATTCTCACAAACGGGCACTAGAGCAAATTTTTTGGGTACTTAATACTTATGTATTCCCGTTTGGTAAGGATCTAGTTTAATCAATCTGATTTACGATTGGAATAAATATGACTACGTGCTACGGCTAACGCACATTAAACAGTGGGTTTGATTGAACCATGTTAAACAGTTGATAAATTGAAGTTTGACAATACACACTATAGAAACAATGAAGTAGACAATAAATGTAGGTACTTACACATTATGGAACTTCCTAACAGTATCGTGACAGTATCGTAACATGCGGGTGTCATTACGTTTTTTCTTCGTTAACTGCCCAAGTTGTGTTTACCACCCAAGTTCCCAAGTAATCAGAAAGAATGTAACTCGCCCACATTTCCTGATTAAGCACAGTACACATTACACGAAGCTTGTTATTCCCACATTATTCATCAACACGAAGCCCACTACCACGCGGGGTTACTTCGAAAAACGTTATCAGAAGTTTCGAATGTTGCCATCCCTCTCTCGCAAAGCGAGATGCTAGCATGAGCGACAGGGACAGATAGACTCGAAACTACGTAAACAGCGTTTCGGGGTAGCCCTGCAGAGCTTTGGTATCTGACCTATTTCGACGCCCGTGTGTTCTAAGCATTACTTTCAGACACGGCCGCAACTTGACCTGGAATTTTCAAACGTAACCTGATCATCATAAGGTGGGTTTTCGCGTTTGAGGTAAACATTTAATTTACGAATTTATCTATTGAATGATCACACAAGTGTAAACTTTATAGACCGCGTGAATTAGTCCGCGTCGCGCGTGTTGTTTACAGTGTACTAAATTCTATGGCCAATAATCTGTTTGTCGTCCGAGTTTTCACGTTTATGGCTTTGGTGTATCTACAGGGAAAACAAAAAACGTATTAAAAAGCTGGAGATAATGTTATGTTTATTTAATGCATAACAAGGCAGGTATTTGACCACAATCGCACCTAGTGTTAAGTGGGATGCAGTCTAGGATGTATTTGATTTTTTAAGGCAGACTTAATCAAGTTAGACCCCATTTCACATATGCTCTCTGAAGAATGGAATATTTTCTTTCATACAATAGGTAAAGTTGATAGGAACATGGAACTTTCATATAACAACAGTTGAACTCTAGGTTTTGGATCTAATTTCCCCATGCGCTTTATTTCTTCTTTAATAGAGAGATTTCTTGCTTATACGTCCTCGACGATTGGCAAGCTATAAAAATTCTACCATAGTCTTCTCTTTTATAAACCTCATCATCAGCATCATCATCATTCAGCCATAGGACGTCCACTGCTGAACATAGGCCTCCCCCAATGCTTTCCATGTTGATCGATTGGTAGCGGCTTGCGTCCAACGCTTCCCTGCTACATTTACGATGTCGTCGGTCCACCTTGTAGGTGGACGTCCCACGCTGCGTTTTCCGGTACGCTACGGCCTTATAAACCTAAGTTGACCAAACTATAAAATATATGAAAATTTTTGCAAGGCTCGAGATTTCATCTTGCGACACACTAATATGCATATTAAATTCTCGTTTGAATACTACGCGAGATTTATTACTAAAATAGTCTGGAGACGAAATTTTATTATTCTTCCAAAGCCATCCGATTCCCCACGGTATTGTCTGGGGGATAGAGTTTAAGTTTCAATTTGGAACGAGCAGGAAACTATAAACTAAGCTTAAGTCGGAACTAATAAGGGTAAGTCCTCGCTATACAGACGGATAACAGTGTTTTGGCTTTAGTTAAGTAAATTACTTAACTTTGGAAAGTATTGTAGATATTTGCGATAGTAACTATGTATACTGAAGTCAGATTTTGAAATAGCTAAATACTCGTAATAATATAATGATAATTCACATTTTAACTCTTGTTTTACTGCTATGTATCAGTATACCATCAAAACTTCATAGTAAATAGTTTTTTCTTCATTGAAGCGAACTCTTCTTCATATAAGAAGAAACAAGATTACTTGCCACTACTGATTGATTTTGTTTGATTGGGTGGTAAAGGTCGCGGTAAGAGCCTGGATGCGGGCAGCGTAGGACCGTTCATTGTGGAAGGCCTCCCGCCTTTGTCCAGCAGTGAACGTCGTTTGGCTGAAACGAACGAACGAAGGTACTTACTCTAAGAAGATATAATAATTATCCAATCATTTTTCTCTCAAATTAATTACTAATTACAGGACTCTACAAAAACTAGTCTAGACGATCCTCCATAAACTACCTACATTACATTTTAAGTACATATCTAATAGTCCCAACCCTACCAACCTTCCGATGCGGAAGTCATTAGGGGAGGCCTATATTCAGCAGTGGCCGTCCTGTGGCTGAAATGATGATGCTGATGGTCTAATAGTTAATTTTTAAAAGATTATTAGCAATTTGTATTGCACAAATTACTAAAGTCCCGTTAGCCACTCGTGTTAAGCTAAAAAAGCTTGTGTTATGAGTGGGCTCACCATAATAGTCGAACGGCGGTGGGATTCGAACCCGCGTTCCTCGGATCTCGAGTCAGCCACTCCGACCCCTTCACCGTTCGACTATCGTGGCTATAAGTATAGCACACAGCTATCAAATAGCTATGACATAACTACTATTCAAAAATACACTCATTCATCAATACACATTTTCCATCGACTCTGTTAACCCCTCAGCCGTAGCGGAGATCGCGCTCCGCTCCGCATCCGCAACGCGTCCGCATAATCCGGCGACATCCGCATACCATCCAAGTTAAATTGTAGCGCAATCTGAGATCTTAGCCTGCAGTTATGGGCGGAATGCGGGGCGGTAGGGCGGCGTTCACTATTGATGACATTTACACGATATTTGTCGCGGGAAGAGCCTGGATGCGGGCAGCGCAGGACCGTGCATTGTGGAAAACCTTGGAGGAGGCCTTTGTCCAGCAGTGGACGTCATTTGGCTGAAACGAACGAACGAACGAACACGATATTTCAAAATGAAACTGTGTTGTTTTGGCGTGAAATCAAATAATGATATAGAAACAGTGTCCTTACATTATATTGTATTTGTAGCATTATTGGGAACAAAAAAAAATAATTGGAAAAAATTAAGGAAACTGAAATAGGCTAAACTAGGACTGAATTCGGAGGTATTTGGATTT